CCCTACTATAGGAATTTAGAGCTAAGATGATTCTAGACACATCCACACCTGTAACTGGACAGTCGGTGTTGTTGGAGTAACTGAACGGCAGCCCTACTTTGCTCTGCCCTGTCCTCACGATAGGCACAAAATCTGATTGAGATGGTCTTATGGACAAAACACACAGAAGAGGATTTTTTTTCTGGCTTATATTAAAAAAAAAATTATGGATTATCTATTTAATTTGTTGTAAAGTGAGTTTTGTAGAGTCTTCTGGTAAATAGTCTTTACTTGCTGTATCGAATGCCAAAGTTAAAGGAATATAGTCTGCTTATCCAGGTTCTCCATGTGCCTCTTTTAAGGGTAAAGTCCATGTCAGTCTATGGTAATGGGCGTGTGGTATAGACTTGTAGGAGCCTCTGTAATGTGTGTGACATGCACCTGTATAAATTAGCAGATGTTGTCAGAAGAGGGCCTCTGTTCCTTAGATATTTGAGTTCTTTCCATTCTTGGAGGTTTGCATTTTTTCTTAGGCTTGTTTTTGGGTGACATTATTAGTTGTATTTTGGCTTTGTGGTTTTCTCATTTCCCATCTTCTGAATTTATTCCATTTTGAACTTTTGGTATCTTTCTGCATAATAATAAGAGTTGCTGCAAGACAATGTACAATACACGTTCACCAACTTTGATGATTCTGTGGAAGTCCTCAGAAGGGTCTGGAGGCAGCAACAGTCTCCCTGTTCTCGAGTAGGCCAAAGATGGAGATTCGTGATCTCTCCAGTTTCAGCTCTGATAATTCTATGTTAAACACTCAGCATGGTCATTGTGTTGCTTTTTAGAAGACACCGTGAAATTATCCTATATCTCTTCCAGGGGTGTGACAGCTACCTTGAGAGTCTCTAGAAAACATTTTCTGCCACTCTGGTTTGCAGAACTCATGGGCTGCAGAAGTGATGAAATTGTCCTATTAGACTCCTTCCTGATTCCGTCCTTATTAGACAAAGCATAGCTTATGTTATCTAACTGGCTACTTAATGGAATCCAGCCATATTGGATGTGATAGTCTGCTCAAGATTAATTTCATGTAATGAAGATCTGAAACCAGGTATTTAAGAGCCCCTCTAATGTTTCATTTATAGCAATCTATCAAAACGATAGATATTTAGCCTTCTTTATTGGATATGAAACATTAACTTAAGGCCAGTGCTGCTTTCTCTTTTAAATACCAGTATCCATTACATGTTTCTCGCTGTAAGCATCTCTGACCCCTGCCCTCCATTTCATCAACCACCGTGAAAAATCTGCCACCACTTCCCAGGGGACACGTGTCATACACTTAGCCTTAGGTTCTGATTCTCTAGCACCTGGGACAACTGACCAATTCTAGCCCTAACCCTGCTTGGGCTTTTGCAGACAAGGAGCGGGGTCCATGAGTAAATATTTACTTGGTATACACAATACTCAAGGCACACTGGGACATTGATGGGTACGAAGGGGACTCAACTTTACTGTTTTACGCTCAGTTGAAGAAGGGATATCTTACTTAGCCCACGAGGCAGCCTTGTTATTCTCAGTTTAATTATCTATTTTTTTTTTTTTGTCCAGTTATGAGCCGCTGAGGCTTAAAATTTTCTGAACTGCTTCTCCTCATAACATCTTCCCATTTTTGACAGTATGAAAAATATGAATTTTTTTTTTATTCCAATGAGTGGAGAAGCCTGTTAGTTAGCCTCCAGGAGCCCCCTTTTGTCCAGGACCTCTTAGTTTGGTATTTGAGGCCCTAGAACAAATGCCCAGGCATTTAATGTTTGTTGAATTTGTGAATGAAAGAATGAACAATTTCTATTTTTTCTTCTTTACAGTTATTATCCATAAATGCCCAATATTATTCTTCTCTCCTCCCCACTTTTCTTTTTTATTATTCGAAATATATTTGTTCAGCACCCATTATTTGCTATTTTCCAGTATGGAATACATTCTTTCTAATTTTTGTTTTCTGGCTAAAATAATATCTATCCTTTAGGGCCTGACTGAAGACAGACCTGTATCATTCAGACCTGTATCCTTTACGTGGCTTTCACATTCCTCTTTGCTTTTTCTTCTTGAATTCTTAACCATTAATGTTTGACTATACACTTGATGCTTGAAAATAGATGGAGGTTCTCTAGATATTTTATCTAGGCACAACTCATTTTTCTTTTAGATTGAAGTATCTTCAAGGATAGGGGCCTATGCTCAGCACCTTTTCTGTGGTACACACCCCACTCTTGGGCACATAAGATGTATTAGAGCCTGGTGACTTGATGTAGTCTGCAAAGACACAACCTAAATGAATGTGGCAATTATTTTGTGTAAGGCAAGGCAGACGAATCACACAGTGGTTGATTTTACAATGTGTCACTCTCAGTATAATCTTTGTGACCCCCTGGTGAATATAACCATGAAAACCCCATTAGATTTGTCTTTGCTCTTCCTGAGGACTTTTCTGACCACTAGATGGCTGCCCTCCTTGACAGTACCTTTGGGCTCAGAGACTCGAGTGACTCCTGTATTTTCTTGATTCAATCCATGCTTGGTGGTTCAATATTCTGTCTTCTGCTTCCTTGCGACAACATCTGGGGAACCTTTGATTGGGACACCTTAATTGTGGAGCCTCTGCTGTGAGCCATGGAGTCTTGCTGCTTTCCCTCTCCATTGGGCAGGCTTCATGGGAGTTTTCCGGGATTGGAGATGTCAGCCTTGTAGTGTATCCTATGCTTTCTTCATCACCTGTTGTGTGTTTTACCCAAGCCTTATCTCAGGCATCCTTTGAATCTTATTTGGCCAGAAATCTTTTGACAGTTTGTGAACTTGGTTGGATTCCAGTCTCTCTCTTTCATTTTCAGAACGTGCCCCCACTATCCATTTGTGTGCCGGGCCTATGATTTCCCTTGATTCCCCCGCCCCTATGATCCATGGATACCGTTGTAAGAATTGGCAACTTGGAAACACCAAAGGGCCCAACCGCTTGACTCTTAAAAAACTATTTTTTGCCTTTTTAATTTGAAAATAATACTGAATTAAAACTTTTTCATTGTAAATGATACAAATAATAAAGATATGAAAGCAAAGCCTGAAGATCTCTATTAGTTGGGTAGCATGTAACAGAAAACCAAAACAGCAGTGGCTTATTTTCTTTCCGATGAGAGGAGCCCAGAGGTAGATGGGTGAAGGATTTTATATTAGCTTCATGAGGTAACAGAGATAAAGCTTCTTTTTTTCTGTATCTTCTGTCTTTTTGTACCACCATAATTTTCTAATTTGCTTCATGGCTCAAAGTAGCTGCTAGAGTTCCAGTCATATCATCTGAATTCCAAGCAGGAAGGAAGAAGAAGGGGAGAAGAGAAGAAAAAGTGCATGCTTGCTCTTTGTCCCATTTTTAATGAAGGACAAATTTGTTTATATTCTTACTGCTCACCCCTAGCCAGTTGTGTGTTGGAGCTGGCTTATCCTTGGTTTCAAGAACCAGTTGTTACATTCTCAGGAGTT